GGCCACACAACACAGTTAAAATGTCACTGACACAATCAAGACATATGACCATGCATATGTCAAGGAACCCTTAACTCCACGTGGTGACATGCACAGCATCTCCAGGGTGGCAGGCAGCAGTCACTCAGCATACAGGACACTGGCTCAGCACAAAACAGAAAGAAAAACTGGAGCAATGTGTAACAGAGGACAAAAAGTTATAGAATACATGTGGCCTTGTGAGTGCCTACTGTGTCACTTGGTTACGCCCCAAAACCTGCAAGCCTGGCACACCATTACACTCCTGCACTTCAAAGCCACCCAGACCATACTTAACTCTGCACAGGATCCAGAATTTAGTTTTCAAATGGGCTTTTTGCTATGTTTTTACTCCCAAATTCCAGCTCTAGTGAAACCTACACTGAAAAGCACAGAGACCATGAGGCTGCCTCCTGGGCTTCTACACAGGCAGCAGGAGTCAAACTCTGCAGACTCTGTACAAAGCCAGTGGAAGAACAGGAGTCCTCCTTCCTCCCAATTGCAGAGGAAATGTGTCTCAGCTACACAGCCACCTCCTGTGGCCACAAGGCAGGCAAGGGCTGAGGTAGAGGAGGTTTGCTGATGCCACATTTACCCTGCATTCTGGACACATGGGAACAGTTTTTGAAACAGTAACTCCCTTCAGACTGCATCTCACACCTGAGGCAGCCTCAACCCTGTCTGTAAAAATCCCCATGAGCAGTCCTCACCAGCAAGCAACAGCACAGAAAGGATACCAGTGCAAAGGTGGAAAATGGAGCTTTAAACAAGAAACAGTAATTCTGCATTTGGCTGTGTCCCCCTGCAGGCAGGTATGACAAAGCTGAAATGATCCTGCAGCTTGTGTTTAATTTTAGGAAACTGGTTAACCTACTGATTGCTTTTTGCAACTATACTCTTTGCCATATTTAGTGTTTTTTCAACAGTGAAACATTTAAGCAGAGATCCTCCAGTCTCCTTCACCCACACTCAGGTGTGAGTTAAGATAATGTGAACCATACTTACATCATAAAAATAAAATCAAACAACTATCAAAGTAAGAGCTCCTATTTTGCATCAAATATATTGCGTCTAGCAGCTGTTTGCAAGGTCTTCCTTGTTTTCTGCTGGCTACAATGGCAAGCAGGAATAAACTTGTAAAGCTGGGGAAAAAGCCTCCAAGAGCCACTCCCCCTTCAGAACAGCGCTCCAGGATTTTCCATTCTGGGTGATGTGTCACACAGCAGCAGCACTCTGGACACACAGCACACTCATCCCTAGTCTGACCTGGCTTTGCAGCTTCCACCTTTCCTGAGGGAGACATAGAAACAAAGTCAGTATCCCACATTTTGAGTACCTCAGCAAAGAATGCTTTTGCTAAAACACCGTGCCTCAGAAAATGGACATTTTTCCCACTATAAAAGTAGATTTGATGTTTTATAAAGTTGCTGCTGTCCCATTACAAAAAATGTCTCAATGACTGTGCATCTGCAAGCATTGTCTGAAATAGCTTGTAAGAGTCTTTCCAGTGTTTCCAAAGAGGAAAACTTATTGCAGGGAAGGACTAAAATGCATCTACAGAAATCATGTTCAGAACTGCCCTGGGGCCCTGTCCTCATCGTAAGGACCACGTTTAGTGCAGATTGTGGCACTGCAAGCTCTAAGTTGTGACTGGGATTTTGTTTTTCCAGGCCTACACAGACTGGACTGAGCCCAAGCAAATCCTTTTGCATAGAGCAGAACAAATAGTTTTAGGACAGGTTTAAACTCTGCAATAGGTACCCAAGATTTCCAATTGCAGAGTTTACAACTTGATTTCTCCAGCAATCCAAACAATGTAACTTCCATTGTTTTTCTCTCTGGAGTTTAGTTCCCCTTCCAAAGATACATTTTAAGGAACATATCTACTCCCTTTTTATCTTCCTTTCCTCAAAATGGTATAACTTTCTGAAAACATGACAGCAAAACAGCATCTTCATATTTAGGCAATCTGTTTACTGTTTTATTTTTATATATTTCTACAATGCACACAAATTAGTGTCTCCTCCTTGTCTCCTGTTAACACTTCACAAGTCATGTGCCTACACACAAAGGAGCACCATCTCCTCCCTTCCTGGCAGCCTCCTTGGCTACCGTTCTTTTGCTAGCCCAGAAACCCTGTCCTGGATAAACATAACACACCTTAAAAACTAGTGCTGCCTTCAGGTCCAGTGTTTGCTGTATTTACTCACACATCAGTCCTATGGTAGATAAGTTGAACTACCAGCCATGACAGAAAAGGATTACTCAATTGAAAGCAAATGCCAAGGATGAAATACAGTTTGATTACTGAAACATTCTCCTTAGAATCCAAAACATGATGCCAGCAAATCATGGGGACATGGAGGATGGGGAGAAACAGGGACAGACACAGGACACAACACAAAAGGGACAAAAAAAAACCCCAAAAATTCAGTCTTGTGCAAAGACAATTTCTAGTAGGAAACTCATAGAGTTCCGCCAAAAAAAAATCAACTCTTTCCAACTGTTTAAGATACTCTTAGTTACAAAATTTTCCAGTGTATTAGACTGTCTAGCACAAGGAATTGGTTTCACAAACCAATTCTTCACACCATAAAGACCATCCTATCGCTTTAAAAAGGGAGAATATCCACAAGCAGCAATGAGCTATTACAAATACATTATCAGCTCTGGGAAAAAGAATCATCAAGTAATTACAGAGGTTATCAGGGTCCTTATCAGTACTCACTGCCAGCAGGCTACCTGCATATTCATTTCCCTCTCCATCACCACTCTGGCATGCCGAGTTTTCCAAAATAGTTTCTTCTATTGCATATGTTCATAAAATAATTTAAAAATAAATATCTGTTTATTACAGCAGTGATAACAGAGGCAGTATCTAGAATTGAAAACAGGGAATATATTTTTTCACCCAGTGAGCAGAACTCCAAACATTCCATATGCTGAAAAGCAGTATGCATTTTCAAAATAAAACAGTGTTCAGAACAATGCAAGTGAGAAAAATGTGCATGAAAAATGCAATTTTTGTCTTTCAGCCTGCTTGAAGAAGCAACTGAAAAGTCTATATATGAACTAAATTAACAGTCCATGAGCAATTTCTGTAGTCTGATTCCCAATCAATAAATGCCAAATTCAGATTAAAGTGAAGAACATATTTTTACCATCCCCAAACGCAGCAACTATAAAAGCCTTGTGCAATAAGCATTCTAACACAGCACAATCCACGCTGAGCTGATGTTCAACAGCATGCTGTTCTACACTCTCCTGACACAATGCTCAGAGGGTTGATCATATGGAAAAGGAGAAAATAAAAAAGCAGCCCAGATACTGAACCCCTCATTCATGCAGGGCAAGAGCTCAGGACACAAACCTACTCTTCCATTTTGAATCCAGGGTCCAGAATTCGTTCAAGATGCTCCTCCAGCCACGATCCCAACCTCCAAAAAGCAGCTCCAAAAGCATTGCCCACAGGTCACCTGCAGCTCACCAAGCCTTTGTACTGCAGTGCACAGAGGTTTTAAATAGAAGGCTTCAAGAACACCATTATATACCTGCTCAGAGACTCCCAGTGCTTCACAGGTTACTGTCTCTCTTGGGAAACACAGACACTTCTGAAAAAACTTTCCCAGTTACGCTACACAAGAGTCCATGGTAGTTCTCAGTCACCCCCGGCTTCCCCAAGTCTTTTGCAATTTGAAACATTCCACATCTAAGCTGCCTCTAAATAAAGTGCCATTGTAATTCCTGTAAAAGCCATTTCTATATCAAAATGAACGCTGCTAACTCCCCAGATCATAAAAAAATCATACATAAAGCAAATCAAGTCCTCTGAATAAAGACAGCAACCAGAAAGAAATGTTATGGGGTGTTCACACAAACATCTTGTTATAATTTAAGAGTTTGGGAATCCCTGCTCTCCTTAAACTAATCTACTTAGACTTCAGTCCAAATATCACCTGACACTTGAAGAGGTTAACAGGGAAATCACATATGGAAAAACACATAACCAGTGACCTTTCTTTTCGTGATGTATTCACTGGGTCTATGAGCTTTGAAGAGTTCACTCACTGAATGCACATTCACTGCCTGTTATTCTACAGAGATAATTCAAGAGATGTCGTACTTGCTACAATAATTGCAATTTTAAACCCTAAATTAAAGACACTTCTCTTCAAGATTTAGGCTCTGTAATTTCTTTTACAGATGCTTCTAAGACTCCAGGGCTGAGACAAATTCTCCCAGGCTATCAGAAGCTGTAAACAAAATAACAGCCAAGTTATAATAGCACAAGCCTACAAAGTACCCAGAGTTTATGAGTTTCCACGGATACGCACTAGGGCCACACCACAGGACAAGGAACGAGTGCCATTTTCTCAGGACTGGAAGTACAGATCTTGCTCTCTCTTCCCTTACACTATGAAGGAATTAGCGTTACATGGCTGACACTGCCAAGCCAAGTAGTGCTACTTGTTTATCTGCTTTGTCACGCTGACTGCAAACATATTGAAACACAAGATTCACACCCACTCCACATCTTGTAGGATGATTATGAGTAAGCAACATTTCACATGAGCACCTGTCACTCGCCCTGAGCAAGGGCTCTTCCGGGGTTTAACATCTCACCCAACTGCCCCGAGGACACAAACCGCGCTGTTCCTCTCAGGCGCTCCGAGCAGAGACGCTGCTGGAGGCGAGGGGACCGGCAGAGGGAGGGCGGGGAGCTGCCAGGTGCCGGCTGCCGCCGGACTCGCGCTGCCGCGCGGCGCTCCGGGCATCCCGGCCGGGCCGGGCCGGGCGAGCCGGCAGCGAGGAGCCGCTGCCCCGCGGCGCCGCGTCACGGATCTGCTGCTCCCGGCAGCCAATCGGCGCCGCGGCCGGGGACGGCGCGACTTCATTCATTCATTCATAAAAAAGAGGCGCAGCGCAGCTGGGAAGCGCGCCCTTCCCGGCACCCCCGCCCCGTGCGGGGCACGGATACTCACGGCAATCTGCCTCGTCACTGTTATCCGAGCAGTCGTCGTCCTCGTCGCATTTCCAGATGGCGGGGATGCACCGCTCGTTCCGGCATTGGAACTGGTTCTCCTCGCACTCCTTGACGGCGCCTGCGAGACACGGGGCCGCGCCTGGGTCAGCGGAGCGCGCTCCCACGGCCGGGCGGCGGGGGCATCCCGGGGCCGCCTCGCCGCTCGGCTCGGCCGCGGACAATCCGGGCAAGGCATCGGGAGCTGCCGCCGGCCCGGTGGGGGCTGAGGCTGGGCTCGCCAGGGCACAGCGGCTCGGTGCGGGGCTGGGCTCGCCAGGGCACAGCGGCTGGGTGCGGGGCTGGGCTCGCCAGGGCACAGCGGCTCGGTGCGGGGCTGGGGGAGACGCGCCTCCGCGGGAGCACGGCGGCGATCCCGAAGCTGCTTTGTGCAGGGATAAAAGGGGCCATCCCCGTGCTTCCCCGCATTGTTTTAAAGGCGGAGGGAAAAGGAGCCTGGGAATAGAATATGGTTAAACCCGAAACACAACAGACAAAGAAAAATTATAAAGCGGAGTGATGCTAGGACCTCCTGCGCATCCGCCAGGGCAAAACGCACCGACACCTGGGGACGCGGGGCGGAAAAGGCACCGGCGCCGTCCCGGGAAAAGGGACCTGACCCAACTAAAGTTGAGGGCGGGGGGAGAACGGAGCAAATCTGCTTTACAGACTCGGTGCCGCGCTGCTCTGACGAGGCACAAATCCCCTCTGAAAGGGATTAAAGGTGGCAGCTCCTGTCACCAGCTCTCGGGCTGCATTCGCCCGCTTGAAGAGCGTGCCCGGCCCCCGCAGGTCGCAACCCCCGAGCGTGCCCAGCCCTCCGCAGGTCCCAAACCCCGCGCAGGGCTCCGAGGCGAGCGGGCATCCGCGGCCGCGCATCCCGGGGTGCCCGTGCCGGCAGGACGCTCACCCCCTCCCCGGCAGCGCTGAGGCCGGGAGACCCCGGCGCTGAGGGAGAGAGGCCGTACCGCGCCGGACCCACCTTTGCCGAGGTGCAGCTTGAGCAGCAGCAGCTGGAGGAGCAGCAGCCGGGCGAGCGCTGGCCGGCACATGGTGCTCGCTCCCTCCCTCCCTCGGTGGCAGCGCGCCGTGTGCGGGGTGCGCGCAGCCGGCGCGCCGCTCGCTGCCCGCCCCGTGCCGACTGCGGCCGGCGCCG